ATATTTTTCCTCCAGCAAGCCATCACCAAAACTAAATGTCAGTTCTTTCCATGCGAATCATGGGAGGTTCCACCCCCCCTTCGCTCCGCTCTCCGCGCTCTTCGCTCCGCTCACCGCTTCGCTCTGCCCGCCTGGCATGTCCAGGGCCACTGGCCACGGGTTCACCCACGTCTCAGATCTGGCGGCAGCCGACGAGGCCGGCCCCGCCGGACACCCGGACCGCGCGGCCGGGTCTGGGATGTGGAGCTGAAAATGGTGGATACACCGCTGGTCTAAGCACAGGAAATACGATCCATGGCTACAGGTTGTGGACCACCAGTCACCAGTCGATCAGTAGTAACAAGGACCTGAGACGTGGATGGAAACTTGGTTAAGACTTTTAGGTATGCAAATCCCAAAAAAAAAGGATGACTTAACATGCAAACTTTGATCTTCATGTCACTGTCAAATCACATGTGCCTTGCTACACCTTCCTTCACCTGATCACAGCTCCAAACAACTGGGACGAGGAAACAAATAGGATCTATTGAACCATCATGCCAAGCAAAGCTCGTTTTCCACCATGCCAATGCCACCGGCGGAAAGAAGAACAGTTGGATCCCACATCATCCCACGTGGTTCCATCTTGGGTGTACCATTCTCATTTACAGTGGATGTTCCTCCTTAGTGGAACTCGTATTGGGTTCCTGGACAACCAGTCAGCCTATACGCACTAGCAGCCCAATTAACCAGTAACAGTGGATGATGGTTGGGTTAGGTTGCAGGCCTTTCTCAAAAATAGTGGTAAACGTTTCCCGACTGTTACTGGCAATGGGGCGGCCACACCCTAGTTCCCATTCCCCATATTCCCCACCTCCGCCCACCTGGCATGCAAAGTACAGCTCGTTTTGTTGCTCAAAATCCGGGCCGTGGCATGGATTGGGCTCTTCGCGGGCTCAGGCTCGGGTGCACCAAAAGTCATGGCCCACCCATGCCAAGTTGTCCTCAAAATAGATTGCACAATGCAGAAAGTAAGGCTGCCAGCAATTCCATGTCGGGGTGCTTAATGAACTCAATGGAGGTAGTCGGGGTGCTCAGGACATCCACTCACTTAGGGACTAAACACCATTGCTTTGTGACTCGCGGCGGTTGCACAAACAATCACTATTGCGGGGGGCGATGGTGATCTAATCATCGAATTCCCGAATGCCGAATGAAGAAAACATATGAAGAAGGTAGAAGCACTCCAGGACCTAATGAATCGCTTTGTGTTGAGCAAAGTCGACACCCATCTCTTGAGACATACAGTTAACATAGTTAACATACACATCTGACATCTGTCAAGCCCCAACATCTGAGCCCATCGATTGGCCATCGACGGGGAAACCGGTCTAGATCTCCACATCTCACTTCGTTCGAGTGAGCTGTGGCCACCCAGCTGGTGGAAAAGCAGCCGAATTCAGTCGATGGTCGTCCTGGCGCGGCATCTCACAAGAAGTGGGTGTGTTGCCACCGGAGTTCTTTTGAGATATTTCAGATGAGATGATCAAACATTATCCTAGCTTTCTATGTCGTACTATGTCTTATTACAAAAGGTCTGTCTTATCCACACTGCCACAAACTACAATATACAAAAATAATCCTAATCCTGCATGTCAACGTACGAACGTGAGTGAGGAATGCTCAATTCTATCTTTTCCCCTAAATTGTCCTGAAAACCTACAATGGAAGGCTTTCGTGAGTGCACCGACTTGCAAATAAACTTGCACAGTGATCACCTTAGCTTAGTGACCACCTTAACTTCAAACTCCTCTTTCCATTGTGACTCAACAGCGTTGATACCTGCTCATGGTCGGACCCGACATAAAACAATTATATAACCTCCCCCTCATTTAAAAAAATCCTTGGCAGAAACATCAGAAACCTTCCCCTATTAATCAAGCCCAGCTGCCCCAGAAAAAAAAAATGTTTACTATTACAACTAAGAATAGTTACTTTCTTTTTAGTCAGCATCCAATCTCTTCTGGTCAGCATCCATTGTTCCACAATCCCTAATTCTCTAGCAACATTATTGAAAAAAAAATCCCTTACCAAAACTCTATCAAAGTATTCAGGTTTTCAAGCTCACAAAGGGTACCCCTTACACAGGCCTTGCCTTATGGTTCACACAGAATCCTAGCAACCATCATCCATCATCCATCATCAGGTCATCACCCCTACTAGGGGGATCTGGCCTCCAAAACCTCATAATCTCAAACCTTGTGGACCTTGTTGACCTTGAAGAGGGGGGGTTGATTAATCCTACGTCAACATAAATTAAAGTAAAAGGATGTAAAAGGGCAAGGTGCCTGAAAAGTCCAAGAGCCAACTAATTCTAGTCAGCCACTGAGAGGCTTTGACTGCCTTTCACTCCTTTAGCACCTGGAAGTGGAAATACTGACCACCCTGGATGACTCTTCTCCCTGACGAACAGGAGGGTTCCACTTCCTCATGTGTCGCGAGTTGTAGTGGACGACTTCTGCTACAGCAGCCTTGAAGTGGATGGTTTTTGGGACCCGATTGTCAGGTGAACCTCTCTCCTGTGATCCCCACAGCGGAAGCTGTCCTAAGTCTAGGCATCACAGGTGGGGTCCGGCAACTCCGCAGGGAACTGGGGGAAGCGCTTGGCAAAGAGCCTCGTGATATGCTTCACCTGAGGCCAGTTCCGGCCAGGCCATCTGCACCCGACAACGAACGGCTGGGCCTCTTGGAAAACAAAAACGGTAAGAAGTGAAATTCTGGGACACCAAATGTCATCAGGTAGAAAAAGGAGAAGACGAAAAGAATGCAACATGCTGAAGCAATCCAAGGTCACACGGTGCTTGCCCTTCTTGGGGTCCGCCTTTCCTGGATGAGGCCGATAGGGATAGGCATCACTCGAGTCACCCGATGGTTCATCGAAGCTGACATGGGCCTTGCACAAGCGACTAAGTGACCTGCAAGTGACATGCCTTGCACATCGCATCCATCTCTTTGTTTTTTGCCTCTACGTACACTCCGACGAACACATCACATGGAGGTGGAAAATGGCCCCTTGGAAGGCTATTATAGTTTTCTTTACGAACAGGGGGGGGTTCCACTTCCATGTTTGTGAGTCGGAGCGTATTCCCCTGAAACCATGACAAAAAGGATTCAAAGAACAGATTCCAGAAAGGCTTCCATGTTCATCCTATGTCAATCTATGTCATATGCATTTTCTGGCCTATGTTTACGGACCAGTACGGGTCCACATCCCATCTGTTTCATCTTGCGGAAGGGTCCTCAGCCTCACCGAGGGCTGATCGCCGAACCGCTCGCCTCTCCCAGTCCCAGCTACGCGCGCGTCTGGAGCGCGTCCGGGCGTCTGGGCCCAGGCTCCGTTCCAGAAGCTGGTGCCAACGCCCTTGTCCGTGGTCTCATCGTACTCCCTGGCGGAAGCAGCAAAGGGAGCTTCTTTCTGGTTGCTGTGTGAGAAGCCCCGAAGAAAGACTTCGGAGTAAAGAGGTCGAGAACCCAGATAGCCCCTGCAGGTCCAAAGGCCCAGTAAAACCTGGTCCTGAAAACCTGATTGAGTGTTTTTGTTTGATCAACTCCAGCCGGAATGGGGTCAAACTGACCTGTAGGGACGTTAAAGTGATCAATCGGTCGCGAGCCATAGGAACATCCGAGGAAGAGATCATAGACTGTTTGTGACTTCTGACTTCCATCTCATTCACATCACAGCAATCAGAAAAGCTCGAAGAACGATTGAAGAGATGTGCGGCGGTGGGGCCATGTCTTCCTTGGGTTCCCAATGAGCCCAGGCCCAGCTCAGTGTCTGGGTAGACTCCTGCCTCACGCCGGTGCTCTCGCAAACGTCGTTGTAGTTCTTGATGCCTCTCCAAACGCTCTGCGACTGCGGGGTCTTGGTCGGTGTTCGACTCCGGTGTGTCTAGCACCGGGCTGGGAGGAGGTTGGCAATGCCTTGCAAGATGTATAGTTGGAGGATCAGCCAAAGAGCGAAGGAACATTTTGGCATGGTGCCTTCCAAGTAGTCAAGGAATCAGAAGCATGGGCTAGTGGATGAAGGCATTCATGAGCGTGGGGCCGAGCATGCTGAAAGCGTGCCTGAGAGGTCATCCAAAGGGATCTCGCCCGCTTCTTCGATGGTGTAGGTGCCTTGTGAGCAAACGAACGCTCATGGGATGGGAGACATTTTTGAGAACCGTGGCGTGGTCATCCACTGTCATCCCCTGCGCTACCAAAAACAAAAGGTCCTTTTAGAAGGGGTCCTACTTAGAGAGTGAACCTAGATGGCTGTTTGTGAAGCAAACAGAACCTCCGTGACTATCAACCCTGCCAGGTTCTCTTCTCAGCCTCTGCTGGTTCCGATATGCTTTTGCAACCTTGCTCAACCAACGGCTAAATGCTACCGGGTCTTGTCAAAATGGTTGGCCAAAGCCAAGAAATATGATTAAACAATCTGCCATGCTGCAAGCAATCGACAAGATGAATGCAGCAACAACAACAACAACAACACATCCGCAGCCAGTTCTTCAATCATCTGTGCCCAGGTGCAATCCCTGGCGCCTGTAACCTGCCAGAAGTGGCGCGTAGTGGATGGAGTAACGCGCTTCTTCGTGCTGTTTGGGGGGGCTTGTTTGGTGGACGCCCACTTGTATTCCATTTCTATTCTAATCAATCTGTGGTGAACACCAACCAAACAATTTGCTCTGGGAAGGTCCAAGAACACCATTGGCATCCCAAGAATAGGCAGTGCTTTGTCAAGCAGACCAATGCACCCTCTGTCAGTTTTCCTGTGGATCTATGCTGGGGTTCCGTCTTGACGACCGTGAGTGATGGAGCATTGGCTGGCGCATAACGGACCATGGGCTGCAAAAATAATCCCACGCTGCCAGGCCCTGCGAACAACAGCAAAGTCCAGCAGAATAGCAGAATCACACGAATTCGCTATCTATCTACAGTATCTATCTATCTATCTATCTATCTATCTCCAAAACAAATCACTGGAACATCATGTCACATGTCTCAAAAATTGCTGGACTGCGGGGTGACGTTCCGCAACTTTCAGCCACAGCTGTCAATATCACCATCACCCGTTCCCACCCTGAACGCCCCACCTCCTTGCCCTTGCACTGGCCGCCGGGCTCGTTCTGGATGCAGCTGGCACTCTTCTGGAAGTAGAACTTGCTGGGACAGGTCCTCCCATCGGCGAGCTCGGCGAGCCGGGGAGGAGAGTCCGTTCGGAATTGATTGACCCAGCTGCGTGCCGTTCGGACTTTTGTGAAAAACACACACATCATGGCACTACAAGGGGCTCAGCTTCCAGCATTGTTTGAGGGTCAAAAGGCTACACGACTATCTGAAATCATTATGGTGGAAGTGGATGGCATGTCCCCAAAATCTCGAATGACTAATAAATCCTCTAGTTAACACGTGGTGCCATCCACTTCCATCATCAGTTCGGGGCGTGTAAATCCTCTCCATCTCCACCCCCCCTCCCGCAGCCGTTCCCGCAGCTTCCGACCGTATGCGCGCATATGGCGCTCGTGCGCGCATGCAGTGCGGTCCCAGGCAAGGAGTACCAGGCCGCCTCACCAGGCAGCGCCACACGGCCAGGGTCGTTCTTCCTGAGTGGGGCGATGGTTTTTTTTTCGCACCGCCCGCGCCTCTTTTGTATCCGGGTGCTTCTTGGGGAGGTTTGTTTCACACTGGAAGGATGGAATTTGGGGAGATTACCAAAACCCACCCCCCTATATCCCCCTTAGTAGGTTCAAAACAAGATCCAACATGATACCAGAACCATCAATGTTCCAAGCACAACCGGCATGCATGCTTGGTGAACGCTTGCTTGGATTCCGAGGCTTTAATTGGCATAGAGGGCAAGTCTGCATCTGGGCATGCTACGATCTCAGGAGGGAAACATCTCGTGTTCCGTGGAATGAACATGAAGCAAGGCAGTGCAAAACAGCCAGTTTGTAGACGAGCTCATGGCCTTTCAGGAATTGACGCTCCATGCGGACAACCGGCTGTTTCAGGTGTATGAATGAACTCCCAAGCCGCAGAAGGAATCAACACCAGCTCACCAGCCTCTCATTTCGCCGCTGTTGGCCCCCGCGAAGTTCTGAGTCTCTTTGGAACAGAAGGGATCTGGCCCTCTGGATGGCTTCACACCCATCTGAGCAAGAGTAAACGGGGGTTTCACCAGATCTGGTTGAACAATAGGTAGGGTTCAACCATGTTCAAACCCCTAACGCCTTCGCCCAGCTTCGTGCAGCCCAAGACGTAGCCCAAGGGATCCCAGTGGAGCTGGCTGCAGCCAGGCCTTGGGACCAGTGGCGTAGAAACATGATCGAAAGGTCAGAAGTCGTCGTGAAAGGAGCGACCAGTATAGTATATGCAGCATAGGGAGGCTCATGTCTACAACATGGGGCTATCTGGGAGCAAAGCCTCACTCATATGACTCATATGGATGCACTTCTTGGGAGCAAAGCCCACTCATGCACTTCTCATATGGTTGCACTTCTTTGCTGCACGTGGATTCCGAAGCGCTGAGCTTGAAGAACTGCTTGAACGGCAAAGAGAGAGAGAGAGAGCGCTCGCGCGCGCATATGTTTACCCACTGACATGTGGCCAAGGTTCGGCCAACGGCTCTAGACTTCCCCTGAATCAGTCCAATGTGTTCAACGTAGTTCTGTTCTTCCTCCGACTCACAGCGCTCAGTTGCTCCAACTCGGCCCAGGCACACGGTGCACTTGGCCTTGTCGAATGCCACGAAGTGGTCGAAGTTCTTTTCCTGGCCACGCAGCTCCTGCGGTGGCACGTGGCGCACGGCCGGCCGAACAGCGGCCCCAACAGTTGGACCCGCCAAAGAGATGGCCGAACAGCGGCCGTGTCCAGTCATTAGACATGGATCGGCGGCCATCGGTTGTCTATAATGATTTGTATCGTATTGTGATTCATGTGTATGGTAGTGTGATTAATGATGGGTATTTGTATGGTATATATATATGGTATTTGTATGGAATTTGTATTTGTATGGTGCTAATGATTTGTATGGGTCTGAGATGGTCCGAGTATCTCTGTCAATGTGCGTTTGCTAAATTGGTGTGCCGACTGAATTTCTATTGGCAGGCGGTCTGCAACATCGTGCGACAAGCACTGCAACACAAACATACTGTTTAAAAAGAAAAACAAAGACATGCACCATGCATCTAGAGAAAAGTGGCACCACTGAATAGAGAGAGGTAAACCCATTGAACAATAGCTGCCAAACATGGTTGCATGATAAACTAATTACTCGAGCCATGAAGCACTCCAACTCCCTGCCCATCCCTGCTCCCCTTGCACCAACACTGAAAACACGCACACCGCGCTTGCACGCCAGTCCCGGGTGGCGCGATAGGACACTTTGAAGCGGGTCAAGCGAGAGATGTTGAACTTCCTCACGCTTCAGCGGCCATGCAGACCGCCATGCAGGACATATGTGCTTGCCGCGGTGACGAAAAAAGGCTGACAGCAAACAAGCAACACCGAAACCGCCGCCGTTGATTGTGATTCCAAAATGCTTTTTGGCCATGCCTTTGATGCAGTCCAATTTCCTGAATGCATTATGCCCCTTACAGTGGCACAAAATGTTCATGCTCTTCATGCTCAGGCCATCAGGCAAGAGACCTCCACAGATCTCCAAGGCGTTTGTTTCACAGTACGATACCGATACCGATACATTCTTCCGCTGCATTCCATCCGTCCTCCCCGGACCCGACGCATCACGATCGTCCTCGGGCAGTTGAAGACCACCTCGTTGTGCAAATACCTCGTTGTGGACCGAACGGGAGGTGAGGTGCTTCGTGTGGTGGAGTGAACTGGTGAAGTGAGTTGGTTGGTTCACGTCTGCGCACGAACCCGCGCCACGTCTAAAACCCGGAACCCCACACCAAAAGAGCGAAGCCAAGCAGGACCGGCGTGCCTTGGCTTCAAAAAGCTTACAGTTTGCTGTCGCCCGGCAGGGAGGCCTTGAGCCTATATTAAAACGAGATTAAAACGATTTAAAACCACTCTCATCCAGATCTACCTGCCACTTCAATCATTGAGACTGGTTCCAGTGTCTCTTCGGATTTGGAGGACAGTCTCTCTGCAGGGTGACCGAATCATTCGAAGCCTTTGCTGGCGGCCAAAAGCAGCCAAAGCACCGTGCATCACCATGTAAAGCACAGGAGAATAGACTCTAAGTCTAAGTCTTATATAGACATGTTGCCCAACTTAGCCCAGAAAGTTGCACCTCCAGCGTCAACCACTTGGACCCGTGACTATCGAAGTCCATCTCCCTTTGCCCCTGACGGAGGTCCCACGAAGCGAGGATGAACCACCTACCGGACGGTAAACCGCTTCCATCATCTCCCAGCCGCTCCCGGCCCCTTCCCAAATAATAAAACAATTCGGCGGCGCCCCACACAGGTGTCTGCCACAGATCCATCCGATGCCGACGAGGCTGCCACACATCACCCAACAAGTTCGCCATGTTCACGCCGTTCAACTTGTACCTCACGCGAACCGCGGTGCGGGTGCGCCGGTGCGGTTCGGGGCTCGCGCTCGGTTGGCATGGTGGGCGAGTCGTGAAGTCACAGCAATCGAAAAGTGCTTGACAGCACGGTGCACTGGAAGCATCATGGAGCTGGGCTACAGATTTGAATGGAAAGGTGCTCAATGTTCTCTGCGAGATGAGCAGACACTGCATCGGAATCAAACATCTACTGTGACTCGTGTCGGGTTGCCCCAGGGTCTCCCATGGTTTAGTGGGTCGATGAGTAGATGATGCAATGATGCCCATACCCAGGTCCACAGAAAGTACGTAAAACTTATACGGTACTTCCCCCGGGCTTTAATTCGCCCCACCAACCATGGACCATCATGTCCCTTGACCATCCTTCACCCTCTTCTGGCCACGAGTGGAAGAGTAAGAGACACCACGCAGCACCCAAACACCCGCTCGGCTCGCCGAGGGCCTCTGATCGTTGTCCACACGGTAGAGGTAGAAAGTCATCAAGGGACCTGGCCCACGCGCAGGTCCAAGAAGACACACACACTCCGCGCTCATGAGCAGTCTTGGAGGGGTGCATCGGTTCCAACAAGTCTTCAAACTTTCAAGGGCAGTTTTTGCTCGATTTCGAGTTCCCCGGCATTGACAAACAACTTCCACAAAGCACATGGCCCATGTCCAGATGCCAAGGACTTCGCACTCCCAAAGCAAAAGCCAACTAAAGGACTTCCAGGTAGCCTTTAAACGCTACCGACTCGAATGAGCCCAATCAATTCAGTTCTGCAAGTCGCAAATCCAGGGCCAAACTCCAGGAAAATCCACTTCCGTCCGGATGGTGTCGCCTGGCTCCAGAGCAGGGGGCGCCAACTCGGGCGCTGGCCCCGCGCCCAACATGTCCTGCTTCTCCTCGGCTACTTGGCATGCGGGACCACGTTGGTCCTAAGGAGGGTAAGACTGACCCATAGATTTTACCGCGAGCCTTTAACTGTTCCGCGTTGTTGTGATTACTTTACTCATTGATCCCCGTTGAAATTCAGGGCGTGGGGTTGAGACAGTCATTTTGTAGTAAAAACCACTTTTTGGCTCTACAAAATGATACTATCTACAAAATGGGGGGGGTAAAAAAAATTCGACAAACCAAAAAATACCTACAAAATGCATCGCTCAAGGTCACTGTATGTCATTATGTAGAAACGTGAAAACAAGGAAAAAATCTACAAAATGATGGGCCCACCCCGGGAATTAAAAAAACAAAATCATTATGTAGAGTCTGTTAGTGAGTCTGTTGTCTCCTTATTCTCTACTAGATGAGTCCGTTTGTCTACAAAATGATCAAGTAAAATCGGCCTTTGTTTACGAAATGATCGCGCTCTTTTTCTCCACCAGTCTGATCACGTTTGTCTTTCCCTGATTTTCAGGTGGCGTGTCGCGCAAACGTGCCGATCTCCTTCACCAAATGAAGGAGGGCCGTGCGCACTGGCGGATCCCTCAAAAGCTGGCTTTCCGCAGTCCTAAACAGCTTTTCCAGCGCTTCCCCGTAAGCCACATTGCCACGAAGGTTGTGGTACCTGCAAACGTATGTGATGCATTTCCCAGTCTTGTATAGTATTGTTAGATCAATTTGTTTGTCCGCTTGGTGTCTTTAAATTGCATTTTTATACTACAACAATAATCTTTCACCCACCATTTTGTAGAGGTCCTCATTTTGCAGATTTTTACTACAAAATGATGCACGATGACCGTCACAACCCCACGCCCTAAATTTCAACAGGGGTCCTTCTCAAAATATTCATATATATATATATATTCTGAATTATTCTGATATGAAATGATATGATCTTATATGAAATCACTTCAGATTATGTCAAGATGCATGGCGCTCAAGGCTTGCGGTGCACACTTCAGCAGCGTATCCCACGTGAGGTTTTTGACAACTTCGAAAGCCATCCTGCATTTGCCATTCACATCGAAGATGGGTGACTCCTGGTAGATGTCATTGTGAATCTCCAGCAAACGCTCCAACTGGATTCGGATGGCTGCTTCTCCTGATGCGGTTCTCTTGTAGTCCGCAGCCACCGGGTTCTTGAGATCTGCTGCCGGTTTCTGGGCACCGTTCTTCTTGTCCTTCGACTTCAGGAGCTTATTTCCTGCACTAGTGTCCTTGCCCTTCTCCTCTCGCAAGCCGCGAGAAGCAAATTTGCGACTGCGATTTGTGTCTTTAGCCGCAGCCTTTGCTTGCCCTCGTGTCATGGTGGCACCAACTTCCCACACGTTGACTTTTGGAGCATTCACCAAGGCTTCGGCGCTCTCTGGGGTCAAGAAAAACTTCATGTCCCCATCGTTGCTCCATGGCTCAACGCCTCAGAGCAAGATGAAATGAAAGACCCACGAAACACACGTCTATCCTTTCAGTCATTTTTCAATACTTGTTTATCCTATGTTCCTTTTCCATCCTATTCCTTTTCTTTTCTATCTGGTCCTTCGCGTCTATTCTGTATATATATATATAACTTTGACATACTTTGACTAATACAATTGGTCGCATTTAGTGGTATTTATTTTGTAGACTGGAATGACCATTTTGTAGACTAGAATGACCATTTTGATATATTTTGATCCATTTTGTAGTGAAATGCTGCTGACATGCATCTCTCGCAATCCAAAATGTTCACAAGCCCTTCCAATCGCACACTCCATACGTTCGACTTGCAGTTGCACTTCCATTCAATTGGAGGGTACTTTTCCATGTCAACGATCTCCAACGTGATCACTCTGAAAGCCAAGCAGGAGCTCACAGGTGTTTCACCGGCGTTCAACTTGGGGGCCTTGACACCCTTGAAGACACTAATGATCATCCCAAGCTCGAGCGAGGACTTCGTGGATGGAGTCATGAACATCACGATGTTGCCAGGCCTGAGATGGATGTGCGTAAATAATCATAATTATATATAATTTTTGAATCCTCATGCATACTAGCAGATACATAGATCTACATAGCATGTTCATGCACGTTCAATGACCATCTTGCAGCGCGGAATAAACATAATAAACTAGAAAAGAGATGAAAAAATGTTCTTATGTTTCATGGCCAAGAGTCATCAGCCTCTCTGGTGGGGATTCTGGAAGCTGCATATCCTTTTGTGCCTGAGCTACAAGGCCCTTCCAACGGTCCAACCGGCTTGCTCTTGTCTGGTAGGCAGGCTCATTTTTCTCCGCTTCCAGTTCAGCGAGCTTCCTCTCGTTGTACCTTGGCAATATATATGCATATCATTGCATAATGAGAATGGATGAGATGCAAATGGAATTGACTTATCCAATAGAGTTTTATCATGTTTGATCATGTTTTATCTACAAAATGCATCGAACTGCCTCATAACACTTCTACAAAATGAAGACGTCTTATAAAATTATAAAACACTCACACCAGCTTGGGAACTGATGCCAGTTTAGGTTGGTGGAAGCCCTCCTGCAACTGCGCGCGTTCTGGATCAGCCCTGTGTCAATCCCACCTTTGGTGCTCCTCAGCTTGAGGTTCAGCCGGAACAGGTGGTTGAACAAATCCCCCTGGTCGCGCATGGCAAGCGCAGCCCGCAACGTTGTAGGAAGGAGGTTGTCTTTCTCTGGATTTTTTGGGCTGCGCGAGCATTCGGATCGGAACGGCTCCAAGGAAGCCGGCTTCTCCATGAGCTGTCGAAGTTGATCGCTGTCAGGGATATTTGAAAAGCCTGCCTCAAAGCTATCAGCAGGCTGTGCATCAGCTGCAGCTTCCTTGCTCGTGGCCACCTCCTCATCTGCAAGCAACTTTTGCTCATCCTGCAGCTGCTTCAGGAAGGCAAGGCAATCCACAGTCTCTTCCAAATTATCTGCGGTCTCCTCCTCTTCCTGAATATCCTCTGGCGCATCCCAAAAACATTCGGCACTGCTGCAGGCTGTGAAGTACTTCTGTTTCACATCCTGGACTGGCAGACCGGAGCACTCTGAAGCCAAACGCAAAGAGCTTGTCAGAGCATTCTGGCAAATTCTATCAAACCTGGGATGAGTTCCACTCCAGAGTTGAAAAACAGACTCCAAGCAAGCATCACAGAAACACTACAAAATGACACCAAAATGATACAAAATGGATCAATCTAACCATACAGCAGTATCTTTATTCATTTTGTAGAGGCAAGCAACTCTGTGTCTGACAAAGGCTTCTCAGAACGCTGGCGCCTGGGTTTGGCCAGATCTAGCAGCTTGGAAGTCTTCAAGTCCTGTCTTGCAGCGGCTGCGCAAAAGGATCGAGCTGTCATTTGCCCTGAGACAAACTGGCCGCGTAAATGCCCAAAGTATTGCTCTATTGAGATTTCTGAGAGCCTGCCGTTTCCTGCTTCCCAGGCAGAGAAAGCCACTGGCTTCGTAAGAGTGATCACTGCTCCTGGCATGCTTGGTTGAACAACTTGATGGTTAAACATTGTTATGTTAAACATGGTCAAACGGCAAACGGAACTCAACAATTAACAAAAGCAAACAATGGTACAGAGAAAAAATAGAAACATGGTTCTCCTGATAGGGCACAGGCTTGGAGAATGGTGCATGTCTGTGGCGCCGCAAACAAGCTGCCTGTCGGGAGCCTGCGCGCTTCGCATAGTTCCCTGGCCAAAATCTTGAATATGTCTAGAAGCAGGAAGCCAGTGATGCAGTTCTCACATCGGTCTGCAAGGTCAAGGTCACGATGAAGGATACCACACAAGCAAAGCGCAAGCACAGTGGTATGAATGGTGAAGCCCCTGAGGCTCCAGTGGACATTCATGCTGGAGAAAGTAGGGCTGTCCTGGACATTCTGGCTGATAGGTCTGCTTTGGCAAAACATAATAAGATACAATTTAGATAAATTATATATATAATGTATTTTAATTCATATATACATATATTAAATAAAACTCTTATGAACAACATGTGTAAACTCTTATGATTTATTTAGTTCGTGAAAATCAAAAAAGGACGAGCTGATTATGCATTGGATAGAAGGAAATGGATGCAAGAGCGCAATACACACTTAACAAAGACAAGCTGCTGGGTCTTCCACTGTGAAATATGGGTTGCAAAGCAGTGCATTCATTTTGTCGCTCATTGGAGAAGATCTGGAGTATGCCTGTGGAGGGCAACCGTACTTGAGCGTTTGTGTTGCGTCTGCAAAGTGAATGCCATAGTGGATGACACGGAGAACGGAGTTCAATTGTCCATTGAAGTTCTTTCCTGCGTGACCTGGCCGCATTGCTGCTTCATAAAAACAAGAACCTCTATAAAATGATACGTTTAGGGGTCAGGATGCATTTTGTAGTGGTCAGGATGCATTTTGTAGTGATGGCCTGGCAAAAAGAGCAATATATAAACTAGAAATATAAAAATATTAAAAAGTATTCTAAAAAGAAAATCAGTATATAGATAAGCGACATGCCCCTGGCACGCACCAAAAGACCTCATCTTTGTGATAGCAGATCTTGATGGGTAACCGAGGGAGGCAGTTGTGCGGCAAAGAGTAGTGCTTCAGTTCACTGAAGAAGGGGATTTCCTTCAACTCAGTCATGTCAATGTCTTCAAAGGTTCCATGGATGCATCTTCGGATAAACTCATGTGAGCCGTGCGCATCGAATGTCAACCCCTTGACAACTGAGCCACTGTTTGCTAGAACCTTTCCCACAATGTTCAGCATAGTCCAGCAGCCCCGGTGCACTGCATGCACACCTTTCAAAGTGTACTCCATTGGAATCATGCACACTGACAAAGGAAGCTTGTCCTTTCCACATGGGTCCCACACAAGAAACTCCAGCATGGTTTGAGCTCGAGGAACAGCCTTTACGTCCAACCCTTCCCTGTCCATGTCAATGAAGGCATGCTCCTCTTGCTCCGGCATGTATGCCCCTCCA